ATAAATATTTTTTAAGCAAATTTGTTGATAAAATGATGTAGCAATTAAATTAGGAAAATAGGAGTTTGTTACTCATTCAACATTGAAAACTACAACTTGAAAAGTTTCATGAATCGTATGTCACACGAACAGCAAGAACTGAGATTAAGAGGAAAATTGGGTTGTGCATACCCTTTTTATTATAGTAAGTATATATGTCACCCGATTAGCTATTACGACACATATTGTAATGCTTGGGAAGTTTCATGAATCGTATGACACATGAAACTACGATGATCATGATTGGTGTCCATATGTATTGGGTTGATAAGATTTATGTATTAATGGTCGTCCCCGGGAGATGGTGCGTCATGGTTTTTGTTATGATGAGGTTTCTCACCGTCACAATCAATTTCATCTCCGTTTACTCCCGCAACATTCGAAGACAACGGTGCTGGCGGGGAGGTGTCACTGGCCGCCTATATATAAAACCAATACAGGATTAAATTAGAAATATTTGTTCATCTGGTTAACTACGTACATGAATCATATAATTAACAATATATATCAAGCTGCTGCGTAGTTCCAACTTTTTCATTAACATGGCAGGAAGTCAAAAAGAACGCATGCATGCACCGATCGTGAAATCACCTGATGGACGCCGTCAACCTTAACCGAAGCTGTGGAAGGGAGCGGTGATGACTTGGTTGCTGAAAGTCGGAGCCCGGAAGAGCTACTGCAGACTAGAAGGCAAGCAGCGACTAACACGAACAACAAAATACAAGCTTTCGAAGCCATAGCTACAAATTTATATGTTGAGGAAAATTTGCTTCTGCTTTTGAACTGTGAGTTTTAGCTTTGTAAGTTAATACTGAAAGGAGAGTGGTGTCGATCAAGGTTTATATACACAGCCAAATCCGGCCGGCAGGAATTAAGACTCCAAATTTGATTTTGCGTGAGAAACAGGAATGTAAAGAATTAGCTTTCGTACGTAATCCTTTCTGCTATAGTTTGTCGTTAATCCTTAGGCCATATTGCGAAGCCCGGATACATAAACCCTCTTCCTTTTGTTTCTTTTAAGTTGAGAATATTTGCCGACCCATAGAGAATCTCCTCACTAATCAATGTTTTAATCCTATATATTATCGCATTAACATATATACACGTACTCTCTTCCATTAGTCTTCCTTTTGTTTCTTTTGAGTTCAGAATATTTGTGCGACCAATATATAGTTTGTCAGCTAATCAAAGTTTTAATCATATATATATATATTTATCGTATTAACATATATACACGCAAGTCGAACTTTGTTTTCGGGGAGCTGGGCAGAAGGAAAAAGAGGCTCCTTTTGAAGGATGCTGGTTGGGATGGGAGAGGCTGACGCGATGGTAGGGGTTTACGTATTATGCTGCGTGGGCTTGGCTAATTATTAGTTGGCCCATTAGATGCCGAGTTCGGCTACGTAGGGTTATTGGTAGGGTTTGCGTACTATATACGTGTAAGTTCGGCATTAGTCCGATTTAGCGAATAATACTACTAAAGATTTATCGACACCAACGTCATTCTCTCGCTTGTTAGCTACAAGTAAATCCTTGCATCGTGGGCAATCCTTCATCATATATTATATCGGTTAGGCTAGCGTACGCAAGACGTACAATAATCTTATCGAATGCCTTTCGTGGTTATTGTTGCTTTATAATTTAGATAATTAGGACCTACGGTTCACTAATTAAGGGTTAGGTTATAGTATCATGCACAAAAATCCTGCTAATTCGAGTTCTAGATAGCGTTTTCATATTCAAGGTATGCGGTACCCCGAATTTCACCCGGGGTACCGTAGAAGGCACCCACCATATGGGGAGTTCTATGGTACCCAGAGTGAAATCCGAGTATTCGTAGGGTTTGTTGATATCCAAAGGGGAGGAGGAGAGTCGGCCATATATATTGTTCTTTGTACTGTTGTTCAACATCAAGCAATAACTATCAATAGCTAGGAGAGTCTTTAGGATCTCCCGTGGATTAGTCCTGAACCTTTCAGGGATATCACGTAAAACCGAGTTTTTGTCGTTCATATTTCGTTTCTTAACATGGTATCAGAATTATTTGGTTCTCCATAACCTCCCGAAGCACATAGAGCTACACATTCACTATATTCGGGACTTGGTCCGTGCTGGTGTTATTTAGCTTCGTCACATCTCACGGGTTAAAGTATAGTATTATGTCCGAAAGATCAGTCAATTTATGGTCTGAATAGCGTTTTCATACTCAGGGTATGTGGTACCCTGGATTTCACCCTGGGTACCGTAGAACTCCCCATATATATATATCCCGAAGTTTGATTTAATAAAAAATAAAAATTGACCGTTGAGATTGGCCGGAACTCATCTAAGTACATCTAACGGCTAGATCACCTGACGTATACTATACGCCTGACATACATCAGCCATCACCATATATATATATATATATATATATATATATATATATATATATATATATATATATATATATATATATATATATATGGGGAGTTCTATGGTACCCCGGGTGAAATCCGGGGTACCGCATACCTTGAGTAAGAAAACGCTATCTAGAACTCGAATTGACTAATCTTTCGGACATGATACTATACTCTAACCCTTAAAGATCAACATCTAGGTCTTAATTCTCTAAATCTTATACCCGAAGATCAATTTAATTAGAAACAATAATCGACGGTTATGATTCGTCCGAATACAGGTAAAAAAATCAATGCACCATCTTAGGGTTTATAGTTTATGATTTAGATAATTAGGACCTAGGGTTCACTCATTAAGGGTTAGGGTATAGTATCATGCCCAAAAATCCTGGTAATTCGAGGTCTAGATAGCGTTTTTATACTCAAGGTATGCGGTACCCCGAATTTCACCCGGGGTACCGTAGAAGGCACCATATATATATATATATATATTCCAGCCAACAGTATATATATATGCATACGAAATCAAGTTAGATTTACAGATCCAAATCGATGGAAGAAACTAATTTCGTGATGGAGAATGATAAAGTATACTAGTTAGCGTTATTGAAAGTCGACGAGTAATACAACATCGACGGTGGGGTGACATTGTCGTTTCTTCTGAAGCGTTATATAAACGATGTTCAAGACAGAGTGGTGCGAGTTTCGTTCGTATAGCTTGGTCGCCCAATCAGTGACACTTGTTAACAATAGCATCATCACAACTTTTACAGTGATGCGATGGTAAGCAACGATGTTGAGCACCAATGTGGAATAATAATATCACAATAAAGATCCATTTGGTTGCGACTTCATTTGCCGTATAAGATATGCCATCGAGGGGCTTAGGTAACCTTTTGGAGTATTAGATCGTGGAAAATATGTATACCACCAGAATGCATGGTTCACTATTATGGGTTAAACCACGATGGGGGTGGTTCACTATTTGCGAAACATAACGGTGGCTCTAGAGGTGGTGTGACATAGCCAAGCCAGTTATGAAGCCCAGCGTAGATTATTCACGTTGGGTCCGATGCATTTTGACTCATGTGAAATAATGTAGCCGAGACCATTGTTGTTCGACTAAGTTTCAGATTAGCCAAATGGATTCTCATACGTGATTTTCACACGACAATACTACGTCACATGGAAGGTAACCTAGATGATGAATAGAAGGGGAGAATGTGGATACAAACACGGGGATTACTACGTCGACTCTAGAGATAGCTTCCAATAAATATCTAAAACGATGTGAAGCTTGTGACGAAAAATCAATCTCTTTGGTATAAATCAAGTACCGCATTGCCAACACGATAGAAAGAACCTATGTATATATTTGTTCACCAACCTCCATTAGTATGAGGACTTTTCGAAAGGAACTCAAAAGTAAACCCCGTATGGACTGACCTTAAGCAAACAATATCATGTCAATAAATTAGTCTATTTCGAGAAGGGATATCAGAGACTTGTTTTAAATTTCGAATTTGGGGCTTTATACTTTAAGTTTGTTGAATCCTCCTTTTGTGACTTGAAGATTCGAGATTTATGCATCTGTCCCACGAATAGAATGAGTTATACGTCTTTCTGGTTGGTCAATTAGAAATCTGCATAGGATAATTCCGTGTATTGCAGGGCATGTCGATACAAGGTGTTTGACGGCGCAACATAGTAGCCAATGGAAGGAAATTAAGTTCCTGGTCCTAGTCCTCGTTCGAACATTTCTAGTAGAAGTGTGGACCAAGAAACAATTGTTTGGTTCTATATGATCCCTTTGTGGGTTCTTTTTTAAATCAGAGTATTTGTTATTGGACGAGTATTTGTAGAGTTTCGACATTGCACCGCTAGAAAAGCTCATTTCAATGATAGCTATATTCATAAAATTAAAAAGGTATATATTTTTATTTTTATTTCAATAGCGATATTGTACTGCTATGATAGGCATTAATAATATTCGAGCCCATTTGAGCAATTATCCGCTTTGTGTTTTTTTTAATATTCAACAGATTATAAAACATTTGTCATTCTTAATTGCATAAGTTTTACATAACATTGTCGACTATATTTCGTGTAAAAAATATCTCTCCGCCATGCAATAGTTATAATACATACTACTATGTACAATTTTCAACCTACTTTTATATACTAAGAAAAAAAAAAACAATAAACATTGAGTGAAACACTTAAATACCAAACCTGTTCGATTAAAAAAAAATCTTGTTCTAGTGTGACTTAAGAATAAATTTCTTATCTTTCATTAACGATGTAATTGTGTTATTTCATGTACACGAGCATAATCAAGCAAAAAATAAATATTTTTTAAGCAAATTTGTTGATAAAATGATTTAGCAATTAAATTAGGAAGATAGGAGTTTGTTACTCATTCAACATTGAAAACTACAACTTGAAAAGTTTCATGAATCGTATGTCACACGAACAGCAAGAACTGAGATTAAGAGGAAAATTGGGTTGTGCATACCCTTTTTATTATAGTAAGTATATATGTCACACGATTAGCTATTACGACACATATTGTAATGCTTGGGAAGTTTCATGAATCGTATGACACATGAAACTACGATGATCATGATTGGTGTCCATATGTATTGGGTTGATCAGATTTATGTATTAGTTTTCGTCCCCGGGAGATGGTGCGTCATGGTTTTTGTTATGATGAGGTTTCTCACCGTCACAATCAATTTCATCTCCGTTTACTCCCGCAACATTCGAAGACAACGGTGCTGGCGGGGAGGTGTCAATGGCCGCCTATATATAAAACCAATACACGATTAAATTAGATATATTTGTGTCTGATTAACTACGTACATGAATCATATAATTAACAATATATATCAAGCTGCTGCGTAGTTCCAACTTTTTCATTAACATGGCAGGAAGTCAAAAAGAACGCATGCATGCACCGATCGTGAAATCACCTGATGGACGCCGTCAACCTTAACCGAAGCTGTGGAAGGGAGCGGTGATGTCTTGGTTGCTGAAAGTCGGAGCCCGGAAGAGCTACTGCAGACTAGAAGGCAAGCAGCGACTAACACGAACAACAAAATACAAGCTTTCGAAGCCATAGCTACAAATTTATATGTTGAGGAAAATTTGCTTCTGCTTTGGAACTGTGAGTTTTAGCTTTGTAAGTTAATACTGAAAGGAGAGTGGTGTAGATCAAGGTTTATATACACAGCCAAATCCGGCCGGCAGGAATTAAGACTCCAAATTTGATGTTGCGTGAGAAACAGGAATGTAAAGAATTAGCTTTCGTACGTACTCCTTTCTGCTATAGTTTGTCGTTAATCCTTTGGCCAAATTGCGAAGCCCGGATACACAAACCCTCTTCCTTTTGTTTCTTCTTTTGAGTTGAGAATATTTGTCTCACTGTCTCGTCATCTAGTCAAAGTTTGAATCCTATATAGGATATATTATCGCATTAACACATATACACGTACTCTCTTCCATTAGTTTACTATAATAGAGATCATACCCTAACCTCTAATGGGTAAACCCCGGCTCAAGATAGGATGCATAGCCATGGGTTATGCACCTATCAATAACCAAATCTGAACCCTTCCTTTAGAAAATTCAGATCTAAGGATGGAGAATTAAAGACTATTTTTATTTTCACTAGCTTTCTTAATTGACTCATATCTTTTTTGAAAACGTTTGCACAGAAGGGACGAGTTCATCATGATCTATTGGATCTACAAATTTCTGGGTGAACAAATTACAGGACCAAAAAATACCACACAATACCATACAATACCACCCTGGTACGGGGTGGTATTGTGTGGTATACAATGTTAAAAGTCGTAAATTACAATTAATATACTTCTACTATCATGTATTCAACCATCTTACAGTATTGGTTTGTTCATACCACCATGGTACGTTTTTCAAAACATAGGTATGCTTTTATTTCAATACCATATGGTATAGGCTGGTAAAAAATGGCTGAATTTTTTTTGTTCGAAAAATATATTAAAGTGGATATCATTTTGAAGAGCACAATTAATCTGATCTAACTGTGCAAAAAAAATTAAATTTCGACTTAAAATGAGCGAGAAATCGTCCATCAAAGATTAAAGAGGGAAAAATTAAAGGCTTTCCATGAGAGAGAGGATGCTGATGTCATGCTGATGTGGACGGGTTACTCATGGTTATTCACCATAAAGTTACTGACCTGATCCATTCCCGGTAAACCCCAGTCTCTAATTCTCCAACTCAAATCACAAAATAAGAGATTCAATTAATACAAAAATAATAACAAAATGTTATGATACACGGAAACATATTATGGAGATCCAATAAGTGTGAACGCCGGTGTTTAACATATATACGCAAGGTGTACGCTATATTTTCTATATATACAGAGAGTTTTATTTTAGCTAGCAAAAATGTGGGGTCTACCGTTTGCTTGAGTAAGAAAACTCTTTATATACTTTGAATTGACATGAATTTGGTATATTGTACTATATTCTACCCACACATATTAAAATAAAGGTTTAAACTCTCTAAATAGAAACGATAATAGATGGAAACGATTTGTTGAAATATATTCCATAAACTACATGCACCAATGTAGGGTTTATGCTTTATGATTTTGAGAATTAGGAATTAAAGTTAACTAATTAAAGGTTTGGGTATAAAATGCAACCAAACTCTAGATTTAAAGTTTCAAAACCTACTAAAGCCCTTAAAAGATTGCTTTTAAACCTATTTTTTTTGGTCTTTTGATATCCAAGTTTTGGGACAATATTGCTCCAGTGTGCAATGGGCTGGTTGCCTGGTTCGATTTGTACTGTTCCAAAATTTTAGAACCGCATTACGAACTTTGAGAACCGCGTTCCAAAAGTAAAATAAAAAAATAACCAAGGACCCTTATTAATGAAGCTTGCCTGTAACTGATGCAAGCGGAATCCGGGAATCCGAACTCGCTCACGAATCAGAATACGCAGCTCTCACTTTTTAGGATTTTCTAGGATTTTCTTTCAACAACTCAAAAATAAAATGATAGGATGGAAAAGGATGTCGTGCAACTTCAACACACGAGAAGAGGCTCGAACAATATCACGGTAGATGCCCTACCACGATCAAGGGGAATACTTGATTGATACAGAGCTCAACGAGTTTGGAATCCACCAAACTCACATTCAAGAGTCAACACTCAAGAACCAAATGGATTTTTCTATTCATCAAAATCTCAATTGTTTGCCAAAATTCGTGGCTTACAACCCTTTAAATGGGTATAGAAAATAAATCTAATGAAAACACCAAAAAGAAAAATAATTTTACACGAAAAAGGAAACAAAAATCGACAGGACCCGAAACCCGGTCTAAATACCTGGTTGGGTAATTTACCATCATGGCCGTAGAAAATTCTAGGACCGAATCCTCGGTCTCCCCTTCCATTTCCCCGGTCGGGGAATTGACACTTTCGGCCGGGGGTCTGATGCTTGTCAAAATCACATTAGTCCTTCACCATTGAAACAGATTTTCCCTCAAAGCTTTCCATCCTGACTTCCAAACAAAATTGTCTAAGGGACTCCAGTTAGGTTCACCATCTTGTTGTCTCTTCTTCATGTACTTCCACTGACAGAAAAGACAATCATACACACAAATTTGCCATTACGCCCTTGTTTCCCTCCATAAAATCTTCGCTCCCATTCTGCAAATCCCGTTGTCGTAGTTCTTTGCGTAGCAGCGACAAACCTTAAAGCTTGGGAGTTTCTGCAAGAAAAATCACCATAATCGTAAAAAGGATCACTATGAATGACCTGCTCTTTTTCCACCGCGACTAGCTCATAGGAATCTCCATCTTCCTTTTGCGGTTCTGGGAAGTTAATCGATAATTTCTCTGCTTCAAGATTTGCCTCCTTCTCCTCATCCTCTTCCTCCTCCTCTTCAGAACTCAAACTCTGTTGCGCCCGAGAACTCGAACTCTGATCAGCCATAGTTAGAAGCATAACTCCCACCTAAGCCATATGTGCTAATAGCTGTCTCATGGCGTCTTCAACGTTTGGCTCCATGGTTTGCATCTTTGATGTCTTCCTCGCCAGGCTCTTGCCCTGATTTGAACCAAAAAAAAAACACAAACCAAAATCCAATATATATATATTCAACCCACGTCCAGCTTTGTGACTAATGAATATTTTTTTCAACTCTTTTTTTTCCACCGTGAATAGTACACGATTTTTTTTAAACAATGAAAACAAAATAAAAATAACACAAATAGCCGCTGAGTTTGAAGCGGGCTCTAATAACACCTGATGTAAGATAAATCCGCGAATCCGAACTCTCTCACGAATCAGAATACGCAGCTCTCACATTTTAGGATTTTCTGGGATTTTCTCTAAACAACTCAAAAATAAAAGGATAGGATGCAAAAGGATTGTCGTACAACTTCAACACACGGAAAGAGGCTCGAAGAATATCAGGGTAGATGCCCGACCACGATCAAGGGTAATACTTGATCGATACAGAGCTCAACGAGTTTGGAATCCACCAAAACTCACATTTAAGAGTAAACACTCAAGAACCAAAAGGGCTTTTCTATTCATCAAATTCTCAATTGTTTGCCAAATTTTGTGGCTTACAACCCTTTAAATAGGTATGGAAAATAAACCTGTTGAAGACACCAAATAGGAAAATAATTATACACGAAAAAGCAAACAAAAATCAGCAGGACCCGAAACCCGGTCTAAATACCCGGTCGTGTAATTTACCGACCTGGCAGGGAAAATTAATATAACAACACAGATCCATTCGGTTGCGACATCATTTGTGGTATAAGATATGCCACCGAGGGGCATAGATAACCTTTTGGAGTATTAGATCGTGGAAAATATGTATACCACCAGAATGCATGGTTCACTATTATGGGTTAAACAACGATGGGGGTGGTTCACTATTTGCAAAACATAACGGTAGCTATAGAGGTGGTGTGACATAGCCAAGCCAGTTATGAAGCCCAGCGTAGATTATTCACGTTGGGTCCGATGCATTTTGACTCATGTGAAATAATGTAGCCGAGACCGTTGTTGTTCGACTAAGTTTCAGATTAGCCAGATGGTTTCTCATACGTGATTTTCACACGACAAGAACTACGTCACATGGAAGGTAACCTAGATGGTGAATAGAAGGGGAGAATGTGGAGATAAACACAGGGTTGTTACTACGTCGACTCTAGAGATAGCTTACAATTAATATCCAAAACGATCTGAAGCTTGTGACGAAAAATCAATCTATTTGGTATAAATCCAGTACCATATTGCCAACACGATAGAAAGAACCAATGTATATATTTGTTCACCAACCTCCATTAGTATGAGGACTTTTCGAAAGAAACTCAAAAATAAACCCCGTATGGACTGACCTTAAGCAAACAATATCATGTCAATAAATTAGTGGATTTCGAAAAGGGATATCATGAGACGGCTTTTAAATTTCGGATTTGGGGTTTTATACTTTCAGTTTGTTGCGCTCTCCTTTTGTGACTTCAAGATTCGAGATTTATGCATCTGTCCCACGAATAGAATGAGTTATACGTCTCTCTGGTTGGTCAAGTAGAAATCTGCATAGGATAGTTCCTTGCGTTGCATGGCATGTCGATACAAGGTGTTTGACGGAGCAACATTGTAGTCAAAGGTAGGAAATTAAGTTCGTGGTCCTAGTCCTCGTTCGAACATTGCTAGTAGAAGTGCGGACCAAGAAACAATTGTTTGGTTCTATATGATCACTTTGTGGGTTCTTTTTTAAATCAGAGTAATTGTTATTGGACGAGTATTGGTAGAGTTTTGACATTGCACCGCTAGAAAAGCTCATTTCAGTGAGAGCTATATTCATAAATTTAAAAAGGTATATAGTTTTATTTTTATTTCGATAACGATATTGTACTACTATGATAGGCATTAATAATATTCGAGCCCATTTGAGCAATTGTCCGTTTTGCGTTTTTTAATATTCAGCAGATTATAAAACATTTGTCATTCTGAATTGCATAATTTTTACATAACATTTTCGACTGAATTTTGTGTGAAAAATATCTCTCCTCCATGCAAAAGTTATAATATATACTACTATGTACAATTTTCAACCTAGTTTTATATACAAAAATATCATTGTTAGA